ATCTCGTGCTGCCCAATCGCAGCCCACTCAGCCTGTAGTGCCTGTGCGAGTTGCTGAAGTGTCTGGGGCTGAGGGTTACGGCGTCGCACCCGTCTGTCCAGGGCTTCCCACAGATGTTCGATCGGGTTTAAGTCCGGTGATCTTGAGGGCCAGGGGAGCACATTGATGTTGTGGTTCTGGAGGAAGTCTCTAGTGTGACGTGCTGTGTGAGGCCTGGCATTGTCCTGTTGAAACAACTCCCTCTGGCGATCAATGATTGGAAGGAGGTGTGGGCGTAGGATTTCGTCACAGTACCGTTGAGCTGTCAGATCGCCCTGGATCATCGCAAATCACTTCTCCTACGGCAGGTGATCTCCCCTGACATCATAACACTTTACCCGGCCGAATCTGTCCACCTTGGGAACGCAAGCGTCGGCGAAACGTTCACGTCGACGTCTGTACACCTGCATTCTTCCATCGCGTCGTTCCAATAGAAATCGTGATTCATCACTGAACCAGATTCTACGCCAATTCGGTAGGTTCCAGGCCTGAACGTTGGTGCAACATTGAACTCGATGTCGACGATGTTGTCGAAGCACAGGGACAAAATAAGGTCTTCTGGCGTAAACCAGCCTCTCTCAACCTGTTCCTGACGGTCTGTGCAGAAAGCCTCCTTAATCCGGGTATTTGTCGAGCGGTACTGGTCGCCGTAGCTGTTCGATGACGCAGGTGATGTACCCGAATGTAGCGATCCTGCGCCGCAGTGGTCGCTCTAGGTCGCCCACTACGAGGGGCATCTGCTACCGCATTCTGCCGGCGATATCTCTCCCAGAGCCGTGAAATGGTGCTTTGGTGAACATTCATGCGTCGGGCAACTGCACGTTGAGACTGGCCAGCTTCAAAGCAAACCAATGGCGATATGACGGTTGGCTTCACTTAGACGTTGCATTTTGCGTTCGTCAACAATATTCCAAATACAGTGAATAATCGACAGACAGCGATCAACCTTTTATACCCATCATTGAGACCTATCTGATCCCGAACTTTCACGTGCATTGCATGTGAATTGTGTATTCTGTGACACTACACGCCGAAATTGAAAATCATGCTGTTAAATACGGGTATTTTACGGATGGTGCGTTTTGTGATGTTTCCAAACGCATAAACACCATAGGACTCATAAACAGAGCAACACCTTTTGTAAAATGAATCACCTTTTAATTCATTGCTACATGGATTTGCTATTTTCATGATGCGTTTCTTTTTGGAGAATTATATTATAACGTTACCAAAAGCACTCGGACGCAAGCGTCCTCGTACTTTAACTATAATGGTTCAGGGCGAAAGTGTGCTTTATTACACTATACATGGTGGTAGAGCGAACTGTATTTCTTAAATAATGACACTCGCATCAAACAAACCTCCCATCTGTCGTCTTTTCATTCTTGTTAAATAGAGTTGATAGTAGTTGCTGTAGCATTTTCATAGCACAACTTCAGATCAAGTGAGAAGGTGCTTGCATGAATGGTCCTTTTGTGATGTTTAATACAATATATATTACAATATCATCTGCCATTAGCTAAATTCCCAGCCAAATTTCAACGAACGTTGAAGTATTTTCATAATTACAACTTCAGATCAGATGGGCCGAGGTGCTTGCAGGAATGGTTCTTTTGTGATTTAACACAATAGAAGTAATACAATATCATCTACACCTTTAAGCCATTTCCAGAACAAATGTCAACTAACGATTAATTTGGGTCTGTAAACTTTCATGTCTAAACATTGCGGTTAATATGCAAGTCTTGTCCACTGTACCTGTTAAACTCAGGCATAAATATGTCAACCCACATCAGCAATTTTGTGTTTAGTATATACATCACAATCGACATGAATCATCTGAATTTCAAATCACCGCCCATCAGATGATAGAATTACATGACTTGGATACCGCTGTTCGTTCGAATTCCCGTTCCAGCATGATTCTCTGCATTGTTAACAGCAGACCCGTGCAATTTGAGAGTGTGAAATTAATAATTTTTACGCCGCTGTTAACAATATCACGGCGGGGACACAGAAATGGGCTTCACACATTGTACCCATGTGGAAAATCGAACCTGGGTTTCGGCGTGACGAGAGGGCGCTTTAACCACTGGGCTGCCCCACCGCCCCCGTGCATTTTGCTACAACCTTTACGATGTATGTATAGTTTTATATATACAGGAGTCACGTCTAGTGGTCACACCGCATTGGGTTTTGAAGAGTAGCGTGCTCTAGATGTGCAAGGATTGGCTTAGTGTGGGTTCTGAATCCCACATTCCACTCTGATTCAGATCTTTATATATACCCGGGGCCTTGGATGATCTTGGCGTTTGCAAGTTTTGCGTCCCTTAGGTGCGCCATGATCCCTATGGCCGGAGCCCTGTTAGTCTTGATTGTTTCTAGCACCATGCCCCTAAAGGGCACTCACTCACCAAGCCACTCCACTCACTCACTCACTACCTCACTCCTCTCACTCACTCACTCCTCACTCACTCACTCACTCACTCACTCACTCCACTCCACCCACCCAGCCACTCACTCACTCACTCACTCACCCACCCACCCACCCCACTCACTCCACTCACCCACCCACACCGTTATCAAGATAATGTTTATCCATAGTTTTATGGTTCACACTGTTAGAGAGTTTCCCCTGACATGTAGCCTTGATATTCTTAGGGAGTTGCCTAAGCAGCTAAAACATAATATTGGCCATTAATGGTCTAACCGTGTAATACCTCCCTAGGGGTATTCCAGCAGGATGATTCCTTTGGATACAGTTAAAACCCTATGAAACTGGATGGAACAGACATTGCCTTGTTGTTGGGAGGAGACATTAAGTGTTTCCACTACTTTAATTTAACTGTTTAGTCGGGAAGGGGTGAACCCACGACTCATCCATGATTCCAAATTGCTTAATTAAATCAGCTGGGTCTGACTATCAAACATAATTCAATATTCTATTGACATTTCTCATAGAAGTACCAGTCCAAGGTGTTCCAGAGCATGGCTTATCTTCAGGGCTTTCTCTTTTCCTCTTTCCCCCCGCTGCCCTTTCTCTTAACAGGTGTAAAGAAAGCGCTATCTGCTCCTAAAGGTGGCACCATTTCCTCATTGATGGCTGTTGGAGTTGGGACTTCCAGTTCGACGTCTTGACGGGGTGGTATCCAGTTTTGTCAATCTTTATTAACAGAGAATTCCTAGTCACTTACCTGCATAAATATATTGCCTGGTTGTAAATATGGGTCAAAATCAGCAAGAATAATAGAACCTATTTTACTCAAAACATGCAAACTTACCCTTGAAGATCCGGGTTAGAATTGGTCTTCAAAAATCCATGCTTGTTATAAGAGGGATCGGGTAGTCAGGCTCGCTGACTTGGTTGACACATGTCATTGTATCAAAATAACGTAGATCGATGCTCATTTTGTTGATCACCGAATTGTCTGGTCCAGCCATATGGCAGGGGGGCCGCCTCCGTAGTGTAGTGGTTAGAGCGTCCGCCCGGAGAGCGGAAGGTCGTGGGTTCGATCCCCGACTGCGTCATACCACAAGACGTTAAAATATGGTACTTGTTCGTCCTTGCCTGGCGCTCGGCATTAATGGGGTACAACAAGGACTGGTCGGCTCGGAGTCAGTATAATGTATCTGAGTGGGGTATTCATGCTTCACTGCGGCATGGTATCACAGTGGGCTAGCACTATAAAACCAGCTTCAGTCTGGGCTAGTACAAGCAGCCGCACATACACATACACATGCATGCACGTCGTCATGAGCGAAATATTCTCAAGCACGACGTTAAACCCAATTCCACCACCACCATATGGCAGGGGTGTGGCTGAGTGCTGCGTTAAACAGTAAACAAACAAACAAACAAACAACACCATGCAAACTGTCAAGTTATCGGGTATACTAAAGCGTGCAAAGATTCCAGCCACCAGAACACAGAGGGGGCTCCTCTTGTAAAAAGGATGTAGTTATCGCCACGTGCACATATTAGCTTAAAGAGGGACTTGAATGAGGCAAATTGTCAGTCCCAGCAGGTTTAAATCACGCCATTAATAACCTACTGTGTAGTCGTGAGCTAACTGTATGTAATAAACATCAATATTTAGCAGTTATTATGCAGATATTCACCAATACACTATGTGCAACATCTAGACCTAGACTGAACGTTGGCACAATACCAAAAAACACTGTTCTCTTTGACGTCAGGGAAACACTTTCAAAGACCCACAATTTAATATTTTGGGTGTAGGAGGGATTTTCTTCAGTGGAGACGAGATGTTTTTCCGTCAGTGCATTAAGTAGCGAAACGGTTTAAATAACGAACCTATATATGCATGTACAGTAGAAGTTGGATGCAAACGTGACACGAAGATTATGGAAAACAACTTTCTTATACACAACGGTTCAGGGGACGGTGGGGTAAACTAGTGGTTAAAGCGTTCGCTCGTCACGCCGAAGACCCAGGTTCGATTCCCACATGGGTACAATGTGTGAAGCCCATTTCTGGTGTTACCGTGATATTGCTGGAATATTGCTATAAGCGGCGTAAAACTAAACCCACTCACTCACTCATAACGGCTCAGGACTGAAAGAGACGTCATGACGGGACAAGAAGCCATGATGCGTTGTGCGTAAGTTTTCATCCAACATTATACTCCTTGAGATATTCCCGGTATGGTGTGGACACTACCAAGGGTCGTGATCAGGGCAAGTATGGTGGAATAACTGTCGACCAGCAGATCCTGCTGCGCAAAGGGGGAACACCTCCGGTCTCCCCAAATAATTGTGCCACCCTTGCTTCCTGGAATACAGATTAGCAGATGTACTATTGAAATGAATTGACGTCAAAATGTATTCACATTCGAAGCTATGGTAGTGTGCCATAAAAGTTTGAAATTAGTATGACAACCATGTATAAATCACATATAGGTATGAATATTAATAATCATATTGCCAGCGCATCCCTTTTCTGTCGTCATGCTGCATGAAACGGTCCGGTAGCCTAGCTGGAATCTGGTGATTTTGATGTACGAGGTCAGACGCTCCTGACAATGAAGAATCTGCTGACCATCGTAATCGCCACAGGTATAGTTCCATATTACCATTCTCTGTAACTAAACTGCAACACTTTTTCATCGTCAAAGGCTATTTTAAAATTCAAAACAAGGTCTCTGTTTTCACTGCCTGGAACATTTGATGGTGGTGCGGTTGTTTCTCGATGTCTTTTTTCTTTAGCTATCGATCATAGTGTTCTTCATTATGTTGTTTCTCTACTTGTGAAAATTAATGTTTTAAATTCTCAGATGAGCTAAGAACCACCCAATTCTTTTTCTTTAACAGTAGGTAAAGCTGTATCATGATAGATTAAATATTATAATAAAAAAAAATAATTCTTTTTAATTTTTTGTTTTTATTAATTTTATTATTCAATGGCTCTCATTCCTTATGAAACTGCAAAATATTCTCAAGCACGACGTAAAACCCAATTTCACCTCACCTCACCCTCACTTTATGAAACTGAGGGATTGTCATGCTAAACTAACCAGTTTCTGCTTACATTATGCACAGTTTTATATATTCTGTATTTGAATCATGTCGATGTGGCTTGTTATATAAGAGTTTCATAGCCGTACAACCATCACACACGGCGCTCGTAATGGCATTTGATTGCACCCGATGCCCACTGAACGTAATATTCCTGAGTGGTTATATTTGCTTTCCATATATTGTTCAAAACAGCAAACCCCTGCAAACAAACGCTGAACTGAAACCGCCCTTACTTCTTTCCCGACTCAAGATCAGACCTATCCCTATTGCGCTGTCTGAAGTACACTATCGTGCAAAAGAAAGTGTACACTCATGTTTGATTGGCTAAAATGAAACAAACAAGAAATGAATAATTCCAAATATAACATGTGTTAAACCATTCTCTTCCCACAGAGGTTACTTATCTTCCTACGAACCTCTGTTCTACCGCCCTTTCATGGTGCGAGTGTTCAGGATTCGTGATTGGTTGCAATCAGATTTAGTTGTGCAATCAGCGACGTTGTTTCAAAAGTGATCATTCGCAAGGCCTTGGTAATTTCCGTATGCTTCGGGGGAAAACTAGAACCTCCTGCACGATGCGCAAACGTTTCTTCTAGACAGAACTCAGTCATGTAATGGCGGATCAATGACGTCTCAATCGCCTTCGTTGACAACGGACAAGCTAGCCATTAAATGTCTTGTGTGTCTCATCAACACAAGTCCCCAGCAGAGGAGGGATATTTGTGGCCCCACTGTATTAGTCAAATTGGATCTAAGTCGATTGGCTAGAAAGAAGGGTGATAATTCGTGTTGCGATTTTTGTGCCGCTAAGGGTTTTTACGAGAACCGGGAAATATGGCCGTATTACAACAGAGGTTCGTAGGAAGACAAGTAACCTCTGTGGGAAGAGAATGGTGTTAAACTAGAATTGTTATTCCACGGTGAGGTGTTTTATATGGGTATGATAGCTGTGTTGTTAATTTTAAGTTGTGTTTCTCGATCGGGTTCAGTCTAGAAACGTATTAATAGCCTTTGTGTTTGTTTTTGATCAAATCCAGTTTTCAAGAATAAGTTTTATTTTCCCTGGCAGTTTTCCTAAAGAGCCGGGTTCTTATGCCATTGAGGAAAACTGTTCAGCTCCCCTGTTACATAAACTACAAATGTCCAATCGTACTTACACTCTAAACCATAAAGGCCAATGTCTACTGTAAAATCAAAGAACACGTCCATCTTCATCTTGTCAGTTGTCAATACCTGATATTTGTCCAGGCGTACCTGTGTAACCTCTTTGTTACAAAGATACATGCATAAAGTTTGTCTTTATCTCTTTGTTACAGGCTACACCCAATAGACATAGATGTATGTGTTTTATATATCCAACACCATACAACCAGATTCATGGTTCAATACATTTTATAATAAAATGAAATATACACCAATGCATTCTACAATGATACAAGAGGACTGTTATAATGACTGACCCAATACATCCAACCCAAGCTGACCTGAACTTCTCTGAACTCCACTTCATCTGAGCTGACCTGATTTGATTTGACCTCCACTTAACCTGAGTTGAAGTGAACTGAGGCCTAACCTTAACTCAACTCTATTTAAGCTGACCTGAATTAAACTTTCTGTAACCTGACCATAACTGAACTCTACATAGCCTGGCATGAACTGAACTAAACCTTACTTAACTTGATCTTACCTGAACTAAATTCTACTTCACCTGGGCTGACCTGATCTGACTTTAACTCTACTTAACCTGAGCTGAAGTTATTTAAAGTTTAACCTAAACTGAAACCTATTCAGTTTGATCTGGACTCAACTCTGTGTAACCTGACCTATACTGAACCCTACTCACCTTGAATGAAACTTAACCTGATCTGACCAGGGCACCGTTCCTCAAAGCGATTGTAGCGCTAAGATGATTGTAACTCCCATACTTTAACATAGGCTTACGACTGTCGTAGCGCTACGATCGCTTTGAGGAACGGGGCCCAGAACTAAATTCTAATTCTCCTAAATTAACATGAACTAAACGTAATCTAACAGAAAGTTGGGCTGATCATACACCTTCCGTCTCCGACGAACAAGCTTAAAATTAATGCAATTATTCTTTTTGGCATAACGTCTATTAATTTGCATAGGAACAGATCGTATTTTTATGAAACACAATCCAGAAGATTGGTAAACATAATTATAATCACCATGATACCAATGCCATATATTGTGCACGGATCATTTTCTGGGTGTCATATTTGGCCAACACTCAAACACGCAATAAACTTTGAAGGATGCATACTAGTAACTGTTATATGAACGATCGTGCTGGGATCAGGAAGTAGTGCCCTCCCACAACCAACGCCCTGCCACGCCCCGTTCCATCAGGCATTCTGATCATATTATGTAGATCCAATCTACAGATTCAATAGAACAACACAATGTGAATGTTAAATAGTCACAAATGAATATTCATTAAGAATTCTTCTGATATGAATCTTGTATTACTAACCTTTTTCATTTACATCATATTAATTGAAAGAAGCTGTCTGAATGCACGTTAATGCAAATCAGAAATCACGTGACTGACGTATCTCTTGATTGACAGTCTTTATTTAAGGTTAGAAACTTGTCTGCCATTTTCCTTCATTTTCAGCGATATTGGCACTAATATTCTACATCGCCAATGCACCAGTATCAGAAAACTATTTTAAAGACTTTGAATATTTCACTGGATAAATGATTTGTATTCCAATAGGGACTTTACAGTCATTCTCAACGAAACTGCACAATTCAGAGAGGATAGTGCAGAAAAACAAAATCATGTCAGTGCAAGAAATTTTTTGTTTCCAAAACTACAACATGTGAATGAACAGTTTATACTTTTTCAGCACACAGTGAACAGTATTACACTTGCAGCGCTAGTTTGAATTAAGGTACCCATAAACACCCAAGTAATTTACGTTCATGGGTAACTAGTAGTATCAACATAAAACGCGAGAAAATGAACTCTTTTGTTCTTGTTTTGATTCAAGCATCGAATAATTAAACAATTAATTCATTTGAATATCAAAAGAATGTGTACTCAGTACAGCGTATTTCACACTGTTGACGCCTCATGGTACCATGTTCAAAATCCAGAATTGACGAAGCCACGCATACAACATTTATATTGTATCAAAGATTAAAATCAGAAACTTGAAAATAAAACGTTCCCTTTCACGAAAACGCCATGGAATCACACAAAATGGGAATGAATATATTTTTTTGGCTATAACGGTTTAAACACTTTTACCATCTTACAGTTCTACAGCGTGACGTGTATAGAGAATCCCACCCAAGTGTCTACTGATATAAATTTTATCAACACGAGGCTTGCCGAGGATATTTTCACTTTTATTAACGAGTGTTGATATAATTGATATCAGTAGACACGAGGGTGAGATTCTATTATCATAAAATATCACTCTTCATTAGTTTTAATGAAAATTCTACCATGACTTCCAGTAAATACTGGATTGTGATTGGTTAATCAAAGTCATTCAGAGGCATATTATCATCAAGTTCACGACGTCATAGCATTGTCAGGGCATTGTACAAAATCTACTGTCAAAACGATATCTCCTAGGAGATATGTAGAGATTATTACCCACGAGGTCAACGTATTGGTAGTTGCATACTAATCTCGTACGTCACACGAGTGTCGTATCGCGTTGACCTGTGTCGTAACGACTTGACCTGAGATTCTAACGATTTGATTCGATAACCGATGACCTCTCAATTAGGTCACATTCTGACGTAACTATGTTTTCATTCATAACAAACACGTGAATTCATTCATTCTACAACTTAACCCCCTGGCTGCCGAGTTTTTTTTCAGGCGCACATTTTCATACGCTTTGAAAAGTGAACGTTGTGCGAGAATTGCTCTCGCGTGGTCCTGGATCTACGTAAGGCTATAAAATTACACAGAAATGTAGAATATTAAATTTCCTATCCGTTGGTATAAATATAAGTGCAACTACCTTGGCGGTTTGAGAAATAGACCTTGCTAAATGTTGTCCAAATTTTTGTTATGCGTTAAAAAACAGTAAATTTCTCCGCTTTTTATCGCGCACCGATAAAAGCACTGTGCTACGAATTTTTAATGGGGCATCTTTACGGAAAGTGTGAGCGAAGAAAATACAGCCTGAGATCTGAACGACATAAGTGTATATGAATTGGGTTTATGTGCTTGTGCATAACGTTATACGCCCAAGATTAAAATGACTCGCAATTAATGTCAAAATGTATTTTCTTCTATGACGTCAAACGACGACAGAGAGGTCATACACGTATAATGATAAGGGGCATAACTCCGTTATGCGTAACACTAGGTCAATGTAACCCAGATCACTTGGGAGAATTTGTTGTGGATACGGACGCTATATTTTCGTTATTTTATATTCATGGTGAACCACACTATTCCAATTCAAAGTTCCCAATGTGAACGGATGCACTTTGGTAGTTTCACAATTTATAAGAAAAGATGACAACGTATCACATGTGAAAGCACG